ACCTGTTTTTTACGTTGTGCTTATTTTTATTTTGTAACGGGACTCACTTCCCTAGAAATGAATTGGTCACCGGTTGGGCGATACAAAACATAAGTAAATGTGTGGTTTGGGTGAGCAGAGGAATGCACGCGCTCCCGAGGGGTTCCGCGCTCAAATCCTGCTGCCCCGGGCGGTGAACCCAGCGCTCTCCCCGCCGCCCCCTCCTGGAAACGTGGCTCAGAGGCTCCGGGGCCGATGATGTCAGTGCTCGGATACCTGATGCTCTAGGAAAGATGGAGGGGGGAAACATCCTGGCGACGAACCCGCTATGCAGTGGGTTTGCCAGGAGAGGAGATGGGACTTTTTCATCTAAGAGATGATCTCAATGCACAAAGCCTAAGAACTGTTAGGAATTATGAGTCACTGTGAAATGGCTGGTTGGGCAGATAACGTTTTTCCATGATTTGGGGGGTTTCTAAGTATGTCTTGATTTATTTGGTCCTGATTCAGGCAAGTACTTAAGTCATCTTCACACCAATTTCTAGGGAGTAGCCACAGGTGCCTCCTTTAGTAGGAGTAAATTATACGTTTATTAGCGAGATAAAATCTCCTAATGGGATGTGTGTGTGTATGCGTATGTGTGTATAAAAACAAATGTTAGAATCTCTTTATCTGTGCCTAACATATCCAGTATTCTTTGAAATCTCTAGTGATGCAAAATGATTGTACAGGTAGCCATTGAAACAGCCGTGTGCAAGGCATTGCTCTCATTACCAGTAATTATAATTGGCTGACAAATAAATCATATAATTCTAGAGTGAGGAGGGTGCTCAGAGATAGGCCAATCCAAAGGACGAAAACTGCAAATGTGAGACTGGTGGAAAAGTAGAAAGACACTTTTTTATTTAAATGCTTTTCATGAAACAAAATTTATACCCGTACTAAACTAGGACCAAATATCTAAAATATAAAATGCATAATACACTGTTTTCTTCTCCTGCACACCCAGACTTTGTGATTTCATTGTGTGATGCATCCTATTTTTAACATTTTATCTTTACCTTTTACTTTACCTTTTTTAAAAAAATACTGCGCCTCCTTTAAAGTGTTCTTTTTATACTCTGTAAAAACAGCAGATGGTGTGTGTGAAAGACATTTAATTATGTCTGTAACTAGAAAGGTTTCCTCATGTGAACTGGCTCTTGGTATTCTAAACTACCCTTATTCTCTTTAAATATTTTGTCTGTTTTTCATTCATCCCCTAAGTTTTGCATATTTTTCTAAAATCAAAATGTTCAGACTTCTGCTTAGATCCAGCATTCCTTTTTTTTCTGAAGAATTATTTAATTTTACTTATATTATTATTTTTAAATTTGCTACAGGGCATGCGTGCTCACCAGAGAGAGGGAAAATGAGAAAGCAAGCTGCCAGACGGGACTCCAACTGAGGTCAATCATGTGGGAGTCCGGTACCTTAATTATCACACCACCTGCTGCCCAGCATTCACTATTAAGTCACTTTCTATGTATCTCATTTTAATTTTGCCTTATTTGTGTATAAATACTGGGATTTAAAATTTTTTTCTTAATTTGAGGTAAATAAGAGAAAACAAAGGCTGAAGTAGTACAATCTTTTATTTTTTTTTTGTCAGAAATTTTGCTCTTAGGGGCCAGCAGATGGCTTAGTGGTTACATTGCTGGACTCCCATGTAGTCAAGCATGGTTCGAGTCCTGGACCTGGTGGCTTAAACCTCATGCTGGGTGCGTGTGTGTGCATGCCCAAGATCTTGAGAATGGAGGAGAAGAAATTGTGAAATTGTGGCATCATCATCCCCCCTGGAGGGTGATTTCTCACTTTGTCTTTCTGGCAAGCACATGTACCCTATAGCAAAAATCTTTCTCTCTTAAAGAAGAAAAGAAAGGAAAGGGGAAAAGGGAAAGGAAAGGAGAAAGGAAAGGAAAGGGAAAGAAAGAAAGAAAGTTATGCTCTTACAAGAGAGACGGAAAGCACCTCTAATGAGGCGTGGTCATACCGGGGTCTCTTCTCCTCCATTTTTCCATTCTGTCAGGAGTTTGAGCTCACACACACATATGCCCAGCATGTTTTCCAAGCTACTAGTTCCAAAATTCAAACTCTGGTAGGTCATGTGCGATCCAATTCCCTATGCAATACTTTTAACTTCTGTGCTACTGGCCAGACCCTATGATATCTTAAAAAAATTTTTTTTTGTTCTGGGACCAGCAGTTAGTGTAATGGCTATGTTGCTGAACTCCCATGTAGTCAACCGCAGTTCAAGTCCCAGACCCGGTGACTTAAACTCATGCTGGGTGCGTGTGCATGCGTGCCCAAGATCCTGAGAGGAGAATGGAGGAGAAGGGATTGTGGCGTGGCCATCCCCTCTGGAGGGTGATTTCTTGCTTTCTGTCTCTCTGTCTCTCTCTGTCTTTCTGGCAAGCGCATGTGCACTATAGCAAAAACCTCTCCAAAAAAAATTTTTTTTTTTCCTAATGATTTCTGGTTCATATATACTTGATGTACATCTTTGTGGGGTATGGTCTGGTTTTTTCAAAGTGTGCATACAATATGTACTAATCAAATCAAGGATACACATATTTTCTTCAACATCAAACCTTACATTATGTTGTGCACATTTAAAAATAGTTTTAGTTGTTTTGGAGGTAATACTGAATTGTCCACAGTTTGTATTCTGCTGTATACACTGTTCTATAACTAATCCCTTTGCCTTTTTTGCATGAATTCTCATGTCCATTAGAAAAATTTTCTTCCAAACTACTCTCCATGCAGTTTCTAGTGTCTACCATTACTCTATTTCTTTTTTGTTTAGAAGGATTTTTGCTATAGGGTGTATGTACTTTCCAGAGAGACAAAGAGAGCCAGAGAGACAGAAAGCGAGAACTCACCCCCCAGGGGGATGGCCACACTGCAATTTCTTCTCCTCCATTCTCTTCTTAGGATCTTGAGCGCAAACACATACGCACCTGGTGTGAATTTTAAGCCACTGGGTCTGGGACTCAAAGCAGGGTTGACTCCATTGGAGTTCAGTGACATAGCCATTACAACAACTGCTATTCCCTGTTACTATTATCTATTTCTTATGCTTTTGAGACCTTCAGTGAGTGGAGACATTTAGCATGTATTAAGCGAAGTTGTACAGTATGTGTTTTTCATAGCATCGCTAATTTCACTTCGCATTATATCTTCTAGATTCATTTACTTTGTGTTAAAAGACAGGATTTGGTTGTCCTTTGTGTTTCAATAGTATTCCATTATGTCTATGTGTTACAATTTCCCATTCCATTCATTGGTGGCTGTGCACTTAGGTTGAGTTTATGACTTTAACTATTGTGAATAGTGTCGCAATAACCCCATGTGCAAATGTTTCTCCACTTGAGTGATTTCCTGTCTTTTGGGTATATACCCACCTACTGGGTCATCTGGTAGTTCTGTTTTGAGGTTTTTGAGGAAATTTCATATTTTCACAGTGGCTTTACTAATCCACATTACCACCAGCAGTGCATGAGGGTTCCCTTTGCTCTACAACCCCGACAGTACTTGTTTTGTGTAGGGTGTTTTTGTTTGTTTTTCAAGCTACCAGGTCTGAAACTCAAACCATGCATTTGGCCATGTGATGTCTTGCCACCTTAACCACCATGCGACCAGCTGGGCTCTGTAATACATTTTCAGTTAATTTTTGTAAATGGTGAGAGATGGGGGTCTAATTTCATTTTTCTGCAAGTAGGTAACGAATTTTCCTAGCATCATTTGGTAAAAGGACTATTTTCTTCACTGGATTGTGCCTTTTGTCAAAAATCAGTTGGCTATATGTTATAGGATTTATGTCTGGATTTTCTCTTCTATTTCATTGTCTTTGTATCAGTTTTTGTGCTGTTACCATGATGTTTTGGTTATTATGTCTTTGTAATATACTTTAAAGTCATGTAGTAATATGACTCCAATTTTATTCTTTTTGTGTAATATTGTTTTGGTGATATGGGGTCTTTGTGAGTCCAGAAAATTTTTAATGATTATCTCTTCTAATTCTGTGAGGAATGTTGCTGGTTTTTAAAAAATATTTTGCCAGAGGGTACATGTATGTATTCATGCGAAAGAAAGTGAGAAAGCACATCCCCCCACCCCCAACCCCGGGAATGGTCATGCTGCAATCCTATCTCCATTTCTTTCTCCTTTCAGGATTTTGATTATACAAACTCATATGCTTTCTCCTTTCAGGATTTTGGTTATCCAAACTCACATGCCTGGCATGGTTTTGTTTGTTTGTTTGTTTGTTTTGGAGAGGTTTTTGCTATAGGGCGCATGCGCTCGCCAGACAGACAGAAACAGAGAGACAGAAAGCAAGAAATCACCCCTCAGGGAGAATGGCCATGCT